CCCCAAAACCCCAAAACCCCAAAACCCCAAAACCCCATAATATAAAAAAAAGATTGAAGAATATCTTAAATGTAACGAGTCCTAAGTAAGAGTTAGAGAACTTTATATGTAAGTCTTAGGGATAGTTCAAGAAGATATCTCTAATGAAGATTTAACCTCATGTTCTTTATGGATTACCTGTTCATCGAGTTCAACTTCTGTTTCGATTAAACTGAACTTTTTGTTGATATCTTCTAACTTCTCAACTATTATCTCAAAATCCTTCGTAAAATTATGGAATTCGTACAATATCTTCAAAACGATTGATGTAGCAAACATGGGCTTAAAAAGCTTCTTAATGATATACCACAAGATATTTAGAAAAGCCATCATCAACCCGACTTCTTCCTTGATATATCTCAGTGAATCTTTTGAGAGATCAGGAACCAGTCGGATAATTGTGTTAATCAGAACCACAGATTCACAAATTAGCAAAAATTTAGTAATTCTGATAAATAGTGACCATGTTGATTTTCTAGTATTTTCAGATCTGGAATGAAGTATTACTGCTCCTACAGTCACGTATAATACCTTTTTGACTAGATTCAGAATAATGAGAGGGAAAATGAGCAGTTGGAGTGATACTTGCTGGTCATCTGACTGATTTGCATTGCTTTCTTTGAGGAATACATTATTGACATTTTTGGCTAAGCTTATACATTCTTTTAAGAAAACAATAGCCCCATAGACAACATACACTCATCCAATCCCTATGACAACTTTCCTCGTAAAATCTCTAATCTGCTCTGCTTTGCCATATTCTTTCAATAACTCATCTCTTTCATAATGACTAAATCCTGATTTTTTCCTTTCTGGAGGTGCTTCAAGGTCATTTTCCAAATTCTCCCTATTCCTTAGTGTTTTTCCCTATAAGAAAGACATAATCTGTTGCTCTCAGTGGGCTAAGCCAATTTGTAGCACAAAAGTGTGTTCATGGGGTTAGCTTAGACTTACGTTCTGTCCAACTTTGATATAGCTCATTGCTCCTTCTGCAGTCGTAAATGTCTAATTTATTTCAATGTGAAATTTCTTAAGGGGTTTTGGGGTTTTGGGGTTTTGGGGTTTTGGGG